TCTAAATTCAAACCTTCTCATGTCAATGTTTTTGGAAGTGGTCAATCTGCATTCCAACAAACCACTCCAACCGTGGGCGTTTTCACAACCAATCCAACCACGAGCTCACCTGTAGCTTTGAAATATCCGTTAAGAATTGAACAAAATTCCTTCCTCAGTAAGGTTGGTTACAATGGCGAAGACATTGGAGCTAATATTGTGTTCAAATATGGTTTGGACGGAACTCGATTTGGAGATTCCAATGTTGAGTTGTTGACTGCAAATAGTTTGTGGCCATGGCCCAATGAAGATCGTATCAAAGCTGAGATGTGTGCCAGTACGACACGAGGATTTTGTTCGAGTGGCAAACGATTGGATGGAGTGAATGCTGTAACTTTAACTTCCTATATTTGGGAAATTTTAGGAAATCCAATTCCTACTGAAATTTATCAAAATTCGAACACTTCGACCACATGTTTTGGAATTGACTCTACATCTGCTCAAGTATGTTCTGGACATGGAGTTTGTGTGAGTTTAGATTCATGTTCTTGCACGGGTGGTTATACTGGAAGCAATTGTGCCACGCCACCTGCCATTACCTGTTTTGGAATTGCTCAAGGAAATGCCAGCGTTTGTTCAGGTCATGGTACTTGCGTGGCCTACAATCAATGCTCATGCACTGGTGGATATACCGGTAGTAATTGTGCAACGCCACCTGCCATCACTTGTTTTGGCATTGCTCAAGGAAACACCAGTGTTTGTTCAGGACATGGTACTTGCGTAGCCAACAATCAATGTTCGTGCACGGGTGGTTATACTGGAAGCAATTGTGCCACACCACCTGCCATTACCTGTTTTGGAATTGCTCAAGGAAATGCAAGTGTTTGTTCAGGACATGGTACTTGCTCTTCTCAAGATAATTGTTCCTGCAATTCAGGATATTCTGGAACTCGATGTGAGAATGCAAATCAACAACCTAAACCTTCTCCAATTGTTTCTAAAAGTATTCGCAATTTCAATAGCACGACAAGAAATGATTCAAATTCCTTGTTGAAGATCGAATGGAGAGGAATCTTATTGTTCATTCTTGTGAACGTTTGGATGATGGTTGAATTCATGTAAGGGAAATAAATATTTTCTTGAGGTTATGTGTTAGTTTGTGTTCTAATAGGCACCATGCCTTAGGAATAAAATGGCTTTCCTTTCCTGGAACCATGACAGGCGACAGTCAACGAAAAAAAGCTTTTCAGTTAACTTTCAATAAGTCATCCTCACAAAAAACAAACTTCTCTGCTTTCATCCTCTATCCTAAATTCCCAAGAACAACGGTCAAATTTGAAAGATTCTTCAACAACTGACAGTTTTTCATCACAAATAATTCTCATCTCACTTGTACCATTACAATCACCAACAACTAAATCCAACAACACAAAAAATCTCACTCATTCTAACATCATATCATCACAAACAATAATATCGGAAACAATTATCTTCCCATATTTGGAATTTCACAATGCCCCAATATGAAGATGCCAATTCATCACTCGATCATTCAGATTCACAATTCGAAAAGATTGCTTCTTCCTCTTATCGTGGATTGCCTTCTTTTCAATTAGAACATCACACCAAGAATATTTTAATTCCATCATCGACGACAAGTGGCAGCAATCATCATCCACAACAATCACCAACATCCACGAGAGGATCACCACAAACGACAAACTCTCATATTTCATCACCGAATGGATCGAATTCATCGTCTCCGTTGCCTCAAAATTCTCGTCAGCAATTAAATTTTTCTTCGACTTCGACACAACCTTCGCATAATCATTCGTCGACACGTGACAGCAAAGTCGATGTTCAAAATTATAGCCCACCAACCAATAATACATCGTTTTATCGACAACGAAAAACTCCAGTCATGTATCAACGAAATTCCCCCATGACTGCCCATACTCAAAACGGAATGACAAGTGGCAGCAATCATTCGCCGGCCGTCACGCTGGAGCACTCTACACCTACCACTTCCAACAATAAGAAATCAACCAATTCACCAGCAGCCTCTATAGGAATCAACAACAATATTGGTATTTCATTAGGAACTTCAACAAATTCGACGGCATGGTCTTCCTTTTCTTCAAGTCCTCCATTTTGTGATATTAATCCGAGTCCAATATTTTCGAGTTCTCCATTTCCGAAAGCTTCGATTCATACTTCGAAATTGAATATTGACGATGTTCGAAGCTCGTTGATTGCGACGGGAATTTTCGCAGTGACTCGAAAATTTCTGAGCACTCCAGTAAGTTTAATATTGATTTCAATCACAATGTGACTCATTATCAAATTTATTCATTGATGAATCATGAATGGATTTATTGATTGGTATTTAAATATTTAATTTAATTTTGAATTCGTTATGGAACTATTTTTTGATAAATTACATCTTGGTTTGAAATTCAATAATCTCATCTGAACCAAATGGATGAATATATATCATTGTAGCTCATGTACATTAGAGGTAGTTTACCTTGTCCTCTCGAATTTTCCGATCATAACAACATTTATCTCAATAAGGACGTTCTCACTCATCGAAGAAATATTTCCTCTAAAACTGCCAAAATTCCCAATGCCATGGATGAAGATGAAGACGATGAAGACATTTCGAGCATTCACACTCCTTCTCTTTCTAATATTTTAATTAATAATCATTTTGGAGAAAGCAAACCAAATTCACATGTGAACTCACATTGTAGTCGTTTTGAATTAAGCAGTGGAAATATTTCAACGTTTGGATCGCTTTTGCAAACTCCTGGCTCTAGTTTTGGAGATCCTTTATTGGCTTCTTCTTCATCAATTGCAAGCCATCGAATGAAAAGTAGTGGCACTCCTATTGGAAGTGAACTCATTCCACCCACATATCGATACACGGCCATGTATCAACAAATGATTCAAGAACAACAAAAACAACAAGAATTGATGAAAGATCAACAAGAGGGACTGTCTTCGACCGAAAAGCAAGTGTCACAGGATGATGTGACAAGTAGTCAAAATTTAATGACACATCAAAAACCCAACACTGAAATGGACACTTCAAATTCGAACATGAATCATGCATTACCTCTTTCCTCACCAGCTTCACCTCAACAACAACGAGACAACTCGTCTTGTACCTCTCCAACTCAAAATATTGCATTTCATCGATTTTCATTGGGTTCTACTTTTTCTCCACCTCAAGAAACTGTTTTTCGTGCTTCGGATCAATTTGTGACATCTCCGATGAGTCCGAATCATCCAGTGCAAGGATTAATGAGTCAGAGCCCAACCTCGTTGTTGAATCCTGAGGAATTTGCATTAAGGCGATCGACAGTGTCAAGTTCTGGAAGAAGATATTCGACTGGAAGTGCTTCATTTCCAAATGGTGAAGATCCGGCCGTTGTAATGACAAGTGGCAGTCAGTTGACTTCTCCACCAACGTCTGTCAATTCTCCACCTGTGCAATCTCATTTGACAGGAGTGTTGACAGAACCTCCATCTTCGAACTCGTCACAATTTTCACACACTACAATGAACCAATTTGGAGAAGGCGGAATGGGATACAACTCTTCCACTATTCATCAATATCGAGAAGCCCTTCGAAAACAACAAGAAATGGAGCCAGAAATGGAACGATTGAAACGTCTCTTTTTGGAACAGCAACAGCAACAAGGTCAACTTTCTCATGGAATTTCCATTCTTGGAAATCAACATCATCATGGCATGCCCATTCACGAACAAGATGAAAATGCAAACACACATTCCAGTAGTTACACAGAATACACCTATTCTCAAGAAGAACAAGCACTCGCTCAACAAGATCATGGAATTAAACGAAAACGAAGAGAACATGAAGAATTTGATGCACAAAAGAAACCCAAAGAAATGATCCACACGACATACCATTCTTCCATGTATTCATCATCAACCATTCCACAAACGTCACATCATCATCATTCTCAACCTTATTCTTCTGGATTTTCACACAATTCCATTTATGGAACCATGATGAGAGATCCTGTCACTTCTCCCAACTCGAGCATGACAACAACAAGTAGTAGCACTTCAGGTAGTGGTGGCATTTCCATGATGTATGCTTCTCATCAACAACCACATGCGTCACAACAACAACCAACCTTAATGCATCAACGTTCTTCCCTTAATGTCTTAAATTCCCTTAATCATTCCATGTCAAATTACGATCATACCACAAGTGCAATTTCAAACTCACAACATTCACAATTATCCAATGCAAAACCGCCTTCGAAAAAGGACAAATTTTTTGGATTTTTTGGAACTTTATTTGGAAAAAATTCAAAACCTTCGACCAATGCTCCATTGCAACATTCATTGAATGCTCATCCTCAACAACAACATGTTGCCATGACTGATGAATTTCAAACTCTGGATCGAAGTTTAAGTAATCTTTCATTGGAACATTCTCAAATGAGAATGGAAGATGACCAATTGTCACATTTAAATTCACATACTTCTCGACCACATGGATCGATTCAACAACATCAACAGCATTCACAACTTCAACATCATCACAGTTTCCACATGTATCCAAATTCTTCTTCGACGCATCATTCGAACCAAACTTTCACAAACACGTCACTTGTCAATTATCCAAATTCTCAACATTCCAATCATTTTTATCAACCTTCTCAAACCACAACAACAACTTTAAACATGTCTTCGAATGTGGTTCCTTCTCAAATACATCCAAGTCATGTTCATTCAGGTCATTTTCATGTTGTTTATAATCCAGAAATTGGAGAACCACAATTTCCTGCAAGTCCACCAAGTCCACAAAAACAAAATCCAACAACTAGTTTGAATTCTCAAAAACAACTGTCAAATGTCACCACTTCACCTACCAGCAGTCATCCACCCAGTACATTTTCTGACCATTCTCCTCGCATCCTGACATCATCTTTGAATTCGAATACTCCTCGAAATCATCCAACTGCTTCCTCTTCCCTGTCAAATGCGACTCTTCAAAATTCCATAATTTCCTCGAACACCACTTCTCCTGAAACAACCACGACCACTACCAATGGAAATGACGAAGATTTTGATACGGGAGGAGGAAATGGACCTACTTCTGATGATGACGCCTTACTCGACGATATGGATGATGAACCGAATAGTCTCGCCCGTGGAGTCACAAAAGAAAATGCAACAAAAAATTCATTGGGAGAATATGTGTGTGATGTGTGTGGAAAAACATTTGCTCAATTTGCCAATTTGAAACGACATTTAAGACTTCATTCGGGAAATAAGCCCTATACCTGTACGTTTGAGGGATGCGATAAGAAATTTGTGAGACGTTCCGATTTGCAAACACACATGAGAATTCATACCGGTGAGAGACCATATGTGTGTAATGTTGAAGGATGTGGAAAGACATTTACGACTTGTTCGAATTTGAGAAGACATGAACGATCGGTGCATAGTGGAGGAGGAGCTTCTGCTAGCGCATCATCGAGTGGAAAGAAAAAGTAATTTTATGGACACTTTAGGATATTCGATTCCAAGAATTATTTGACAACACAAGTATTGATCCGTACCATCAACATAAAAGAATCAACATAAAGGAATGAGATAAATAAATGTTTAATTAAGTTTCAATAGAATTTATGTTGCTTGTGCACGAGCTGTTGTTGTCTTAATCGAAAGGAGGATAATCACTAGAGGTTGCATCATATTCATTAGAAGTGGAATTTCCACTTGCTCCGTTACCAGTACTTCCATTTGCATTCTTGGTTGATCCAATAGCACTCAGAATCGAACTCATCAAACTATTCACATCACTGGCTGTGAGAGGAGCAGCAGTGGCCGTTCGTTGTTTCACTTCACTGAATAGGTCTTCCTCTTCATCGAAAGGTGTTTCCATTTTCAGCTTTTTATTTGAAGATTCCACTGCTTCCTCGTCTTCGTCAACTCGGAAAAAGTCGTCGGTGTAGACCGTGCTAGCAAGTGGATCTTCATCGTGGGAAGAGAAGGCACTGGTTGCGTTGCTACTAGTGCCAAGACGTTTGTTATTGAGATGAATTTCAACAGATGTTGAGACTTTTTGGAGATCTACAATGTAATTGTTGTTCCACTCCTAAAGTGTTGTGTGTGTGTGAAATGAAGAGTTGTCCAGTGTGGAAAATGTTGAAGAGAATGATGAAGAAAATGAGAGAGTTGAAATGATAGGGATCATGTTGCATTCATTATTAATCATGTGTTTAAAAATGTTTGTCATGTTAAAAAGTGTTTGTTAAATTTGTGTGTAATGGCTACTGGCATCATCATTGTTGAATTACGTACTTTAATACAATCATTGCACTTGTCCATTAAATCTTGTTGTTCTTTCAATTCTTGTTCTAGTTGTTGAATGTATTCTCTTCGCTTATTATTTTCTTTGGCAAGAGCAAATTTATAGTCTGTGCATTTTGTGATCATACTTTCAACGTCTGATTGCAATTGTTTTAATGTGAATGGTGACATGTTAGCTGTATTATATTTTGAGATCACATTTGAGGAAATTGGCATTTTAACAATTTATCATGGTGTGAGCGACATGGTGAAGTCCACATCAAAATGGTATGAAATGCGGTGGTATTGTGAAATTACCATTTTTTGTTTTTTGAAAAAGTAATTCTTCACACCATTTCTTCTTCTCAAAACAATGTACTTACCTAAACTATCCTCTCCAATATCAGGTCTATCCAACACTTTTTGTTTACATTCTGAAATCAGTTTATCATTGTCAGTAAAACTTTTTTGATCCAAGCGATTAGACTCCATAATTTCATTTAGTTGAGTAAGGGTTTTAACAATTGGCTTTGATGCAATTGTAGAATCAATTTGAGGAGAACCAAATGCTACTTGTCTGTCTCTCTTCAAAGATGAGCTACTGATTGAGTCGCCTACTGCATGAACACTACTGGTCTGTACACTAGAAGTAGATCCATCGAGGGCTCCTTCAATAATTCGTTTACATTCTTTAGAGAAGTCACTAGTAAAAATCTTTCGCTCTTCGAGCACATTGAACATTCTCTGTAAACTCTTTTGCTCGTTTTGAGGAATCATATTAATGTTATCACGTAAGGCTACAGGTAAAACATGTTGAAATTCGTCCACAAAAGCCTGTGTTTTCTTTCGGGAGTTTTGAATAACATCATTAGCCAAATAAAAGTAACATAATTTTCTTTTTGGTGCCGCTTTCTTCACTTCTCTTAACCAGATCTGAACAATCTCTTTTGCTCGTTTGGCATGGTATATTACCCACAAGGATAATGCTGTTGTTTGTGTTTGATTGAATTTGATGTAACACAGAACAACATGGCCCAGAGCAATTTTGTTCCACGAGTATATAAGAAATTCCGATATCAGCATTGGTATCACCCGAATACAATGATGATGACCACCACAAGCAACATGAATATTATCAAGAAGGTTGATATGATTAATCCAAAATTGTACAGCACAGTGATGATTAATACCGAGAGTATTTAACGATATAAACCGTCATCCCAAACATCCAGGGTTATTCATCATTATTATTATTTTCATCATCATGTTCCGTGCATAAATTGCACCATACATATTGATGATTACCAAGATCATCATGAATAACCGCCGCAAATAAACAATGATTAATATCAAAATCATTCAATACAATCATCATCCGAAATTCGTGTTCGCATTGATCAGCCAAAAAAAAATTATAAATCATCACGATGATTACACAACCAACTTTACACCACACTTACATTGAATACTTTGCTGAGTGTTCGTTAGCTTGTCCAATTTATCCACAAATACTTTTTCGTTCATTTTTTTTCGTTTGTTGGTTCGTCCCTCCAGCACTCGCGGACAAAGACAAAAAACAAAACCACAATCATGATGATCTCGATTATTGAGAAGTGAGGATGAAACTCGGGTTTAGTAATTGTAGGTTTACAATTTCAAAGGTACGGGAGAATTGTAGACATTCTTCCAACAGGTCTTTCAAGGTTGGTAGAATCTCTATAATTCTCTTGTATCCTTTCCAGGAAAACGAGAGTGAAAAAAGATCCTTTGGTACATGAAGCAATTTAGTTTTTACTGGTTCGAATAATACATTCGTTTGAATTGTTCAATTCTATAGGTATGTTCATACATTGAATCATTTGGTCTTTTGATTATTAATGTTGTTTATCATTCAATAAAGCCACAAAGACGACAGAAAGGATATGGCTTTCCTAGAGGTTGTTTCATTAAATTGCAAAGAATGCAAAAGCAGGCTCTCTCCGGAAAAACATGAGCCTTTTCACACACGAAATATTTTACAATACTATTTGGGAACAACAAGTTTTTATGACCACACGTAACGATTTGGATTCAACAAGAGTATTACAACCACAAATCTCAACAACCCATCTCTCCCTTATGAATATCTATCTTATCCACCAAATCTATAATTCGTGGGTTGAACACCAGATTCTCGATAGGCCTTTCCAGCATACTGATCTCGTTGTTTGAAATCAGAAATGTATCCATTCTGAGTTTTCATTTGCATGTGTCCATTTGGATGGCCTTTAATTGCTCTATTTTATAACATTGCATGAATTGACAATTCATCATAACAATTATTGAACAAGATGATATTCCAAAAAAAGGTAAAAATGAGTACCAACGAATGGAATCAATCAATCGATCATTCCATAAACTTACCCATACACTTGAACATCTCCAACTTGGTGTGGACCTGTCACTGCCTTATATCCATTGGCTTGTAAATAGGAACCAAAGTCTTTGGCACTCACTGGTCGTGCATGTTTCGTTCCCAATGCATGATCAATCGCATTGGCTACATGTCTCGCACAATATCCAGTACTGGCTTTCTTTGCATTGGATTGGACATGCTTGGTAGAAGCAGCAATGACATCTTGTGCTTTCTTTGTGGCTGTGGCTGCGGTTGTTGTCATGGAACGAGTTTTGGTGGAACTTGTTGTCGATTTGGATGATGAAGAGGTTGACGACTTGGATGATCCACTGCTGCTACCTGAGGATCCTGAACTAGTTCCTTTCATTGTATCAGAAAGTGAAATGAAATCACTCAATGAATCAAAAATATCATCTCGTTGGGCAGCATGACAGGAGGACGAGATGGACACAACAAGAATACATGCCATGACCAAGAGACATGCAATGACAAGTCGAGTGGTTGACAACATTTTTTTATGGATGTAATCTTGGACTAGGTGGATTTGTTTCAAACTTGTTTTTTTGAATGATTAGAATCAGAAATTATTGATTGTAATCAAAAAGATGCTGAGGATGTTTGATAAAACCGAGGTGAAACATTGGTAAGACTAGTTCAATATAATGTTGAAGTAAAAAGGTTCAGTTGAATAAGAATGTAATAAATACGTAATTTTGAATTGAAGTAAAAAGGTTCAGGTTTGTAAAATAACTTTCTTAGTGGCTTTGCATGTAAAAGTCACAAAAAAATGTAACCTTCATTCATTCTCGAGAACATCACACGAAACAAAATGAAACGACCACCACTACTCGAACAATACACTGCTCTCGGAGATTTTTCATCAATTTTTCATCATTTCAACCATCACGTAGAACATCAATTGGAATTTAAAACCTACTTGAAAACAATGATTAAAAATCGACCATCTACACCACCACGGGATGGTTTAAAAATTAATGAAATGGATTATCATTTAATTGAAATTGCTTCCATGTATGGACATTTAGAAATTCTCAAATATTTAATTTCGTTATTTCATGATGATGATGAAGAGGAAGAGGAGGCATGTCTAATGAATTCGAAATTGACCATCACTGCCTGTTTGATGAATCAAGCATTGATGACGGCATGTCAATTCAATCAAATTGAAATTATTGAATACATCATGACTCATATAGATCCTAAGGATATTCAATATAGTGTTTATGACTCTGAAACTGGATCCAATGGCTTGACCATTGTGAATGCTCTTCGAACTGGAAATTTTGAAATGGTTCGAGCATTTTACAACCGATCGAAATTTCGACCCCATAAACCGTGTCTCATATACAGACCTGATCGACCGAAATTTTGGAAGACGTATTATCCACTGTGGCTTGCATGTCAGAGTGGAAATGAAAAAGTTGTTAAATTTCTCATTGAGGAGGGAGCAGATGTGACAGAATTATCGGGAGACGAATATATTCCTGAAGAAAAACAAAGCGCTTTATCTGTTTGTCTGTGGCTTGGATACGATGATTTGGTGGATATTATTGTTGAAAATGCGGACACGGATTATGTGGATGATTATTTGTGTAATCTTCAAGAGAATGAAGGTGTTGTGGATATTTTGATAGAGTCCACAAAAAGAGTGGAAATGAAACAAAGGTTGAAAGATCAATTCAAATGGACGCTTTTCAATGCGAGAGAGTTGTTGAATCATGATATCACAATTGAATCATTCAAGGGAAATGCCATTTCGCTTGTTGAAGGATTTTAATTTCAATCATCCTTCTCGTGGTCGTACTGTTTCATATTAAATTTTAAATCATCCAATGAAGCGCTTTGAATAGAAAAATTGAGTCGTGTCGTCCTATTTATTTCAATCAATTTACTATTAATAAATTATGGTGAGCGTTAAAAGCGTTCGTTAGGGAATAGATATAAAATACAAAAAAGGGAGTGGAAGAAAAATCGGAAATGCATTGAGGACCCAATCCGTTGAGAGCATGATTGGGTCGAGTATTAACAAGAGTATCAACAACAATCATGATATCAATGTAATCCAATCATTTACAAATGCTGTTCCCGTCTAAATTCCTCAATTTCTCTCTCTTGATTCTTCAAATAATCTTCTCCGAAGGCCATCTTGTAAGCATGAGCCACGCTTTTAACTTCTCCTCGCATTTTCGCATACGTGTCCTCAATGCGTTGTTGAGAGGCACGATCTGGAACCAATGCCGATGATGATGGAGAATAGGAAGAGACAGATTTATGTGGATTCAATGAGTGTGGGTTCATTTCGAAGGAGGTTTGTATGAATGGCTTGGAAAATGCAACAATTTAGTTGGTTGTTGTTTTTTTTCAAAGTTTGTATTTCAGCCATTTTTCGCTCATTTACTTTTATGTGACCGAAGTAAATTCCCGAAAAATTCCGTTAAGCGAGAGTTTACAAGCGCGAGTGTGAAAATTAGGCCAAAATGGAGAATTTTGAAAGAGATAGGGACGAGGAGGAAATGGAATTTGATAGGACCTAAAGATTCTGAAAGTTTTGTTGAGAACTGTAGATGATAGTTATTCAAATAAAGAACAGAGAAAGGTTTTGAATAAGCTCGACCGAGCTTGCTTCACATAGATTTGACAGACTGATTGCGTTTAATTGGACTGCGGTGCTGTTACCATCACACCCGAACCACTCAAATTCTTTCGAGTACTTCCTTCAACAATGTTGAGCTTCGTACTCTTGTTCTGTTGCTTCTTGTTTAATCACTATTTTTACTCAAATTGAACAAAGTACATGTCTATCTCTTCAGGAAAAGCTTGGGACTGTGCAAATACACTCCTTGTGGAATCACATGAAATTGCTTACCTGCAGTTCTTTCCAATCACCTCTCAAGTTCCTTCACCAAGTTCAACATGCTGTTGTTCAACAACTTCACAGTTTCTTTCAACAACATGTACTTCATCAAAACTTCATCAATTCAGAAAACAGCTGAACAGTAGTAAACAGCAATTGTGGTAATTACCTTCTATCCACTTCGGGTCAAGGAAAAATCATGAAACCAATATTTAGACAATTCGTCGAATGAACAGAAGTGTTATTCTAAGAAATATTGTTTACGGAGAGAAGAATAAACTCATCCTCACATTGGTAGATGGGCGATTTCCTCCTCCTCAAACATTAATCCTTTATCATAAGATGGATGTTTGGCATTAGTTTCCTTTACAATAAAGAAACAAGAATCAACCAACCACTTTTATTCCAAATTTGTTCCGGATGTCAATGTTGGAATTATTATGAATCTTGTTTCGTTATCATATTCTCAACCAACAACAATCCCATCAATAATAACAACAACCATCATTCAATAAGCTTTGACCAGTTTAATCCTTTCATTGCACTTTTGATGCCTTTAAAATTGAGGAATTCCTATACAAAACACGAATAATTGAAAATGAAAAAGTGTTTTCAGCTTGTAATTCCATCCTCTGGATCCTTTTGCGCTTCTTGAGAAGCAAATTGAAGTGCATATCCATTTTGTTTCACTGCTTCCAATACAATCTCTCGATCATTTTGCAATTCTTGAGAAAGCAACATTTTCCCTCTTTTCATCAGATTATCCAAAAGAAATGGTGATAGAATTTGCATTGATGAAATTATTCCACAAATTTATAACTTCTCATCACGTCGATCTGAATGCTATGACAATTCAACACACCATTGATTATTATTTATTCAGTGATACTATCTATAACTTTGTGGAACATTTATGGAGTACTCTTAAACCAATTCATTACAAACAACTGCAAAAGGTTGTGAATAATATTGTTCAAGGTTTTCCAATTGAAAAAATATCAGAATCATGTATTGGTTTTATTGTGAAATTTTTGAATGATTGGAAACAAATGAAAGCCTTTCCTCACCTCACATCCATTCAACAATTGACACAACAAAATCTTTCCAAACATGACCCGGAATTGGCTAAAATCCTACAATGTTGTCAAATTGCGAAATCTCAACCTCAATTCAAAACTATTCATTTCATTTCATTTTTGGGAATGGGTGCACAAGGTGTTGTATTGAGATGCTTGTACAAGAATCATTGAATGGTTACTTGTAAACTCTTTTTTGAACCAACAAACGACCCCAATAGATTGAAAGAACAATTTAAAGTGATAAAGGATGAATGCATGCAAGAGCATGTGCTTAAATGTCAAGAATGTAATACTATTGAATATAATGGCTCACATTACCCATACATTATCATGGAAATAGGAAAACACACATTGAAAGAAAAGATTCATTCTATTCATTCCAACAAGATTTCGAAATATTACAAGCGAGAATCTACATCCAAGTTTCTTGAGAAAATAGATTTAATTTGGATTTTGAATTGTTTCATTGATATTCTTAAAGCGGTGACTGCTTTGCATGGAATGAACATGCTACACAGAGATTTGAAACCAGAGAATATTATGCTCACACAAGAGGAAAAACCGAAATTGATTGATTTGGATGCTTCTAGAAACCTTCAATATCGACACAGCGTAACCGTGAATGTTGGAACTTGGGAATATCTGGCACCTGAGGCTCAACATGACCAAGTTTCAAGAATCGAAAATAACACCACAGTATCGAAATTTTGTGATGTGTTCTCTTTGGGATGCACGTTCATGAAAATGTTGACTAATTGTTCATTGAGACTTGATGGAACATATTTAAATTCACAAGAACAAGATTTATATGAAAATCAACACCAAACCACCAACAACACTGGTGATATGAATTATTTCTCAGAATATGGAGGATCATATTTTTATGTGGCTGTTGCAACTTCACATGGAGAATCCAAATTACATCATGCACTTTACAAGGAATTGGACAAACATATTGATCCGTCATGGAAAGTGAATGACATTCTTGGAAGGTGTTTGATGACCATGATTCAGAAAGATATTGAAACTCGAAGAGATTGTGTGAGATATATTCCAATTTTGCAAGCTGTGAAACAATCACTTGAAAAAGGAATTAATAATCCAGATTTTTCCTCTCTTGATTTGAGTTTATTGAAAGAATATCAACCATCATTTATTGAAAAGATGATGAAAGAGAACAAAAGGTTGAAACAAGACAATGCCAAGTTGCTCCAAATTAAGGACAAGTACGAGAAATTACTGGCCTATATGGAAAAACACTCCATTAATTTCGAGTAATGGAAGCCGAGAGTTTCGACAATGTCTGAGTATTACAGACACTCTTTATTTAATTTTTGGAAGTTTGACCGATGTCGAAGGATTGGCAAAATTGTTGACACTGTTACCTGTGCGTTTCGACGCTGCCGATGAGCTTGCTGAACTATCTCTTAGCATGGTGGAAAGATTCTTATCAAATAAATCAATCATGTTCAATTCATCAATTCGTGCTTGATCCAAATGCTTAGGATGTCGATTGTCTTCCCTTGACGTTGTTTTTCCACGATTGATCCATGGTTGAGCTGGAGGTGTTGTTTGACGTAATTCCAAAGTTTTCTCCAAGTTCTTTCTTTCTTCAGGATAGGTCGGTACGGTCATGTACTTTTTCGAGCTCTTTTCCATCTCGTCACGGTGTTTAGAATTGGCGGATTGTCGAGACAGCTCATACACGTTTTGAAAATTTTCATAAATGTGATTTTTCGTTGTTGTTGGACTTTTCAACGACTGTCTTAATTTGTAGTCTAGTTTGTTGTCAATTTGAGTACTTGCTCGTTGTGTCCAAGAATTGACCATGATGCAATACACAATATCAGGAGAGATGGTAATTTCGGGTTTTCTACTCCTTGTTCCTGCACTGCTAAAATTGGTATAGGCTCTAATTTTTGGAGGTGGATGTTTTCGATCGGATCGAATCAAGGTTCCAGTCATGTAACTGTGTAAATTAAAAGGAGGTAACTCTTTAGTCATGGGAGGGAAGGCAGCAACAATGTGACCCTTGAGATGTGGAATGTAGATCCAAAACTTCTTTTCAGGTTGTGACACCTCTTCTAAAGAATATCCAGAAGGATTGGTGTTGAATGCTCTGACTCGTGCCTTTTTTCGTTTTTCTTCTCCTTCGAAAATAATTTTTTCAGCAGGTGGAAGGTGAGCTGGAGTTTCAATTAGAGGAATTCCTTCAAATCCAACTTCTTCATTCAAATGAATAGCCAAATCATCAATTGTTTCAGGAGATGAATATACTTCTTCATGTTCGGTCTCTCGTTTGGCCCTTTGCATTTCTTGGTCCTCAATCTTTTTCTTCTTTTGGTTAAATACTAACAAATTATCTACTTCAATAAGAGTATCATCACAAAATCGTTCCTTGATATTCATTAAATTACACGAGTCGGGAAGAAGGCCATTTTCAATGATTTGTTCCACTGAATCGGTAGAGAAAATGCTATAAACTTTGGACAGTGCTGCCAAAATTTTTAAATCTTCCGCCTTCTTGTTCTTGATATAAATCTCTTTGCTCGATAAAATATTTTCAAATGTATCTTGAAGTCGTAATCGTGTGATACCTTTCTTGGTGTCATCAGTAGGTATAACTTGAACGGACGGTCTCCTTCCTGCTCCTTTTTTCTCATCCACTTTGTCGACAGACTTTGAACTAACACCAATTAGCTGTTCATAGAGACGGTGGCTATAAAAACATGAAAAATCGTACATAATCTTCACAGGAAGCATTTCCTTGTTACAATAGTTCTCTACATGGCCTACTAAAAATCGAAGAGCATCCTTTGATGTGGCCTCTACTGTAAGCAATCGTTTTCTGCCATCACTAATCTCAAATCCACAAAAATACTTTAGGAAGTCCTTATTTCCTTTCGTATTGTTGGGTTGAGGAGATTCTGCAGATTCGGGAGACAAGCTTGTCCCCAAAGAATTTGACGTGCTCACTGGCGACATTGGACCAAATAAATCTGACCTACTCTTGGAAGGTGTTGGCCGTGTAAAGTATTGTGTGAATAGTTGTTCGACCTTTTGAACAAGGGCAATGTTGTCCCATGAAAACATCAACACAAGTGGATAAATACTTTTTTCAGTCTCTGTAAAAACTGGAAATGGGTTATTGAATCTCATTTGAATTTTGACAGAGCTCTTCTTTTCTACATATTTTCCTTCGAAAACAGTGTACTCAACTTGAAACACTTCGTATTTGCGGACGCTAAAGCGACCTTGGGTGATTCCAACAAATTGGTTTTGGAATTTTTGTTCTTTGGACTTTTTGAGGATGCCTTCGCTTTCTTTTCTTCCTCTATTGCCTGGACTCGTTTCTTTTCCTCTTCGAGACGTTTAACAGCTTTTTCATACTCGTCTTGAAGCATACAGACGCCTTGAATTTGAAAATTGTCAGAGACCTCTCTACCTCGTGAGTTAAGGATCATTGTTTTCAAAGATACCTCTGCTTTTCCAAAGAATTTACCAACTCCTTCTTTTGGATCTCTGTCATGTACTTCGAATACGATAGGAATTCTTGAAAAATATTCTCTATACATTTCCATTTCAGAATTGCTTCCCAAGTATATAATTCTCTTGTAATTCAGTGAAATGAAAGACGCATGCTCGTATCCATTCGTCCTGAATGTTTTACCACGAATGTTAAATGATAGAGAAACGGGTTTACATCTTTCTGCAAGATATTTCTCATTGGGAAGGTCTTTGAGTGAGGAAATGGAAATTAGAACTGGGTTGAGCTTGTTCTGAACCTCTTCTGAAAGGATGCTCGTACCTTCAGCAACTTCTATTCTTACATTAATGTGATTTAGTATTTCACTCGTTTCATTTGTGTTTGGAAGCTGAGTTATGCTAAAACGAGAGGATGAAGGAGTTTCGGATTTGAAAGAGTCATCCATGAGCAATGTCGGTGCAGCGATATTCAGCGTGTTGTCTGATTTACAAAGAAGTGAACTCCAATTCTTGTACTTGATGCTTTGTTTTTGTTCATACTTTGCTTTTGTGAAACCGAATTTGTCATTCACAAAAAGTGGCATTGTACACGTTTTGAATGTATGCAAAATTTCGCAATTACTTCCGAAAGAACTCTTGATATCATGGACCATGGACTCTATAAGCTCATCTTGATTGATAGATGTGGCAGCACTGATAGCTGTTTGTATCTTTTTTGTTGTTGATGGTGTTGGTAATCCAGGAGGGGGAGGAGCATTGTCCTTCTTTGCTAGGTAGAAGCTGTCGAGTTGGAAGCTAATTGTTATGCATGTATCAGTAATAATCACAATAAATTAATTTGATGATCATTATTATTTTGCTTGTGAGAATTTTGACAAGTCATGAGTTGAACCTACCAGCAGCATCTTTCTTTTGGGTGTTTGTTTGGCCATTTTTCTTTTTTTCTGCCACAGACGAGGCAGGAAGAGATGGGTCAAACTCTCTCCTTATTAAAAACGAAATAAAAGGGCTTGATTCATAGTACACCAAATCCTGCAGCGTTTCAAAAACAATACAGTGTTCCTTTTCGATTAAAAAATCCTGAGATTCAATCAATGTATGATGCATCTCTGTTTGCCCAGTATTTCCTTGATAATTGCTGACAAGGAAATAAACAAAACGATGTTCCCAAAGTTTTGGAATGTTGTCATCCTCTAATTGTGAAGTATTGGAACTTGTTGTTGTATTGTTATTCGGCTGCTGGGTTTTTTTGGATGAGGAATTTGGTCTTTTTCCTGAGGCAGACGATGGTTTCGATCTTGTTCCTGCATTAGTCGGAGATTTGGAAGAAATCGGTTCTGCTTCATTATCACTATTTACAAAAGGATACGATGGCATTTCTAAGAACGTTTTACCCTTAAATCGTACATTCACTCTTTTCGTAAATCTTGAAAAAACCGAAGACCCTTTTTGATTCGATGACACTGGTATATTATTCTTTTCAGGAGGCTTCCATGCTTGTGATACATTATGTAAATCCTCAATTGGAAATACTGAATTATTCAAAAACGAATTAAAAGCTGCCAAAGAGCTGTAATCTTTAGAAGTGCCCAAAGTGCTTCCGACCTCTGAATATTGATTGGCTCCTCTTGCTGATGTAATTGAGGCCGATGAAGAAGCCTCCGTTAATTTCCTTGGAGGAGGTAAAGGTGATGTTGCATTGTTATTATTACTACTCGCTGGACTTGCCTCAGTAAAATTTGAAACTCCAGCAGGCTGAGAGTTGTTGGCGCCATTTTGTTGCATTTTTTTACGATTTGTTTTTTAATGATGGTTCGGTTACTGGCGGTTGTAATACATTGAAAAATTTACAAGAGATGGTGTAATAGTTGAATCGATAGTTGTTTTCCTTTTTAAGAATTGAGTGGTAGACTGACCTCCCTTGAGTGTGAGTTCAGTTTTGAGTATAAGTTTACCACAAAAACATTCGATCCATGTCATTTCCATTGTCTCAATAATGCTTTGAAAAAAACCACTTTACAAAAGAATCTCTTTTGAACTCGTCATTAAGGATCCTTTTTCCAATATCCTTCTCATGTCATGCTGATCTTCACATTACAAAAAAAAAACTCCAACTGCCACTTGTCACCATGCACTCTAGAATCAACTTCCACTACCTCGAAGTCAAGAAACCTGGCAAACAAGCCTTGATCTTTGCAACCGTCTCTGCAGGTGCCTATCTCGTCACTCAACTCTCCAAAACCGTATTTGGTTTGCCATCCACCACTCCCAACAATGATCACGAAATGAAACAATTTTATCGTCCCATTGATCAGAGAGAAACTTGGTCGTTTGATTTTACATCCATTGCTCCAGTACGACCAAAGAGAGATGAATAATAGATCTCTTGCTGAGTGTGTGTGTGTGATTGGTATAGTAGTATACTAGATCAGAAGGAAGAAGGTTGTGATCTGATCACACACTTTTAACGTTAATATGAAATTATTGTTGATGATCGTTGTAAAATATTTGTAATATTAAAAAAATATTTTAACAACGATTGTTGAGAGACATGTACTTTGGAATTCCATCAAAGCACGAATAGAATGAACGTTCTGCAACTTGATGAATACACACAATCTTGAATTTGAAACATTTCAAAAAAATGATTCAAAATCAGAAACAAGATCAAGAGACGCTCGGAAGGGTTCTGCTGCAGTTTATTGAATTTTCAGTCCATCATCATCATGAGGATTCCAACAGAAATTACAATCAATATTATTGCCAATTACTTTCTCAACTCTTTCATGCTCGGAAGAATGGTAAAGCCTTTTCAGGAAGATTTGAAATTCTGTATGAATTGGTAACGATAACATCATCCAACCATAGTTCCAACCCCAACGATGATGATGAGCTTCATCCAAATGGATTATTAAACAGTCCAATTGGGAATCATCATCCGATTATTGAAATTACTGAAATTGGAAAACAGTTATTGCCTGTTTCAGTGGCCTATTCAAAAAAACATGATTTAATGATGGTAGTTGATCGAAATGCATGTTTTTACTTTTTTCAAAAAGAGTTGAAACGATTCATGAATATGTTTGATGATAGATGTCATAATTGGTATCAGCAGCATGTGTCACATCATACTTTGGGAATAGTTGTGGAAAGTTGTGAAAATGGTTGTGATTATGTCATTGCTGTATTCTCAAATAACATTCGAAAGTATAATATGAAATGGTATTTCAATAGTTTTGGAATGCCAAGATTGATCTTGATCAAAAAATGGATCATCAGCGAGAAGGACATTCAGAAATCAACCAAACAAAAAACATTTTTCAGACCCAATGCAGCAGTTGTGGTTAAAGCTGACAAGATCGGACACCATCATAATACGCTGTATGCCACTGACGGCACGAATATTCACGTGTTCAACTTGGTCAATGGTAAAATGTTGAGGACCCTTCAAATTGGTATACCCTTGTTCTCCATCGATTATTTACATGAAACGAGTGAATTTGTTCTCCTCTCAGATGAAAACAAAATTATTCTTTACAATGAAACATTACAAATGATTACTTCAACCATAGGCGAAGAAGAGGATAATGCCTTGGATACCACGACAGAACAAGTACTTGTGGATCGAGCTTCTAGAAATATCATTTGCATTGGCTCCAAATTTCAAAATGCAATTATTGTCATTTCAGGAGTCACGAGAAACCCCATTCATGTCTATGGTAAAAATGATCAGACGAAACACGAGTATTACATCTCTCCACAGTGTGCTTGTATGGACGAAATGAATGGTGAGCTTATTGTTGCAGATCGTCGCGGTAGAATTATCATATTTAAATGAAGAAACATTTCCAGTTTTCTCAATTTTAGCATTCCAACAGATCATAGAAGGGTTTACTTTAACAAGAACCATGTTAGAACACGGCCAAAGGATTTGGAATTCGAACTAATAGTTTCTTTCTGACATTTAGTTGAGTTTTTGAAATTCAGTGAAACATTTGTAATTTCACAAAACCTGTCGAGTTGAACATGAAAATCAAATTTATTGATGCTTGGCAAGAGTGGCTAATGGTGTCACTTTATATTCCACTGGCTTTCTCAATCCTGTCTTTCGATAGTCCTCTCTCATGCTTTTGGTAAAATCTCCCCACTTGTTGGTAGGCTTGGCTTGAGGTGGAGCAAATTGCAGAGCTTCCTTTGTCTTTCCCAATTCATCTCCCCATGAGGATGAATTAATGTCACCAGAAGGAGCCATCATTGGCTTGTCTGGCAGAATACTCTTCGTTGTGAGATGCATGTTCGAAGGAATATGAGTACAAGTGGTGGAAATTTCTGAAAGCTTTTCCTTCTTTTCAATCTCTGTTTGATAGGTGGTTTTAAAAGAACTGGTTGGATCACGCTCATCTTCTCGCTCCACTTGCCATTGTGCCTTCTTTTGCTCGAGTAATCGAACGGGAGCTTGTTGACCAGTGATTTGAGGTTTAATGGTCTTGATACTTTTGAGAGCATCCTCTGTTTTCAAAGCATCTTTTTGATGTGAAAATGTCAGAGCTGACATGGTGACCAAACTCTTTTCAAATTTATCGTCACCATGAACAAACAGTATCTCCTTTCCAGTTTCGTTGGGAAGAATAGGTTCAGCAACTTGATAGGCATTTGGTTTCAATTCCGTTGGGTGTTGATACAAAGTTTGATTCAATGTAGGGCCAGTTTGTTGTAATGCCACAAACGAAGGATTCGTATTAATTTTCTCGAGATAATCATACGCATTGCGCTCCTCGATCCAATTATTCATCAAGGTACCATTATTGTAGGCATTCTTATGAGAGCTAAGACCGATTTGTTCCGAACGAAGGACTCTCTCCTTAGGTGGAAGAAATTCAGTGACTGATTTCATGGTGGCTGTTGGTTGTTGAGGCATGGCTGTCCGTGATTGGATTGGTTATCGGGATGTATTGATCGTATAACGGAATATATGTACAATGAGAGGTGAAGCAGAAACCAATGAATGGATTGTTTGTGATTTTTTTTAAATTGGTGTAACAGTAAATTATTTGAAAAACGAGCGGGAAACCTTTCATTTACAATATTGTACAATATTGGGACAAGTCTTTGATCCACTTGAGGCTATACTGATATCAATCTTCTTACTCGTCATTCTAACAACATTGAAAATCACCAAATCGATGCACACAAATGTGTGAGGTAGCTCAGCTCACTAACATTACACGCCTCCACTACTCGATAACTCTCGAGAAGATGCCGAGCGACCATGCACTCTCTCATACGCCTCTTCCAAATGATCATAATGTTCATGTCTCTTATATTGAAGTCGATGAGGCAATATTCCATGAATGAATACACTCACCAAACCAATGATGAATACAACTAGAAACATGATGGCAATCAAGGCACATGTGATGGCAATCACGTATAATATATTACGCACTGGAGAGAGTTTTTCAAACGAAACGGAATCATCATCGAGTTCGGAGTCCAAATAGCATGTAATATTCGTTCCGCTTAGTAATTCATAAAACATGGAGTGCTCACTAAATTCTAGAGTGGTTCTATTCCTACTCATTTCCAATGGATGAGAACATGATGTAGAGTCATCGTTTTGTTTCCGTTCAATAACAACAGAAGAAGAAGAAGAAACACCCAAAGCCTTGTTCTCATCATGATGATTGTCTTTACGGATCTGATGATGATCCAAACAAAAGCCTGCATCATCTTCGGGATGCACCCGAACCACAGCTCTACAATACAGGACGCAATGTTCCTCTCCAATAATGCCATGAGAACAATGATTCAAACATTCCGTGTGTGGTTCCAATACTGTACATTCTCTCTTGATCCTATATTCATTCTCCATATTGGGTAAGGAATAGGACAAGATTCCCATGAGGACTGCCATTGATCCTAGTCCTACGGTCATGGTGAGAACCACTCCGAGAACGATATTTCGTAAACGGATGAGTTTTTGCATGTGAAAGAATGATGAATAGGTTGTTGTTGTTGTTTTGGTGGAATATAGTTGTGTAGAGCGCTCAACAGATCATTCACAAAGAGAAGAATACAACAAAAGATGACACACTTGAACAAGCGAAAAGCGGATGATGATA